TGAAAGATAATTGGTTTTCATAGTAAATTAACTCTGTTAGCAGAATTCCTTAAGGAGCTCGATCCCTAGTCATTTTTTAGAACATCATTAAATAGTAATAGCGGTAGTAAAAATAATAGGTTTTGATTTTCCTTAACAATAATTATATAAATGTAAGGCTTTACATGCATTACTTTATTTAATCTTTACAACTTCAGTCATTCTTCATTCTACCTAACATTGTTTTAGGTACCTACAAAGTTGCATTTCTAAGTTCTGGAAATACAGCAATAAGCAAGTAAAAAGCCTGTCCTCATGAAACCTGTACTCTAATGGTTCTTCTTGTGCCTTCTCTGGGAGGCCAATCCATTATGCTATAGAAAATCTTAAATAATTCTTTCCTTTTTTCTAAATATTATTAAATATAAATAAAAATAAATATTAAATATAAAAAGTATAGATAAAAAATAAATATTTTTCTGCTTTCTCTCAGTGGTTCTTCTTCTGCTTTCTATGGCATCACAAACTCCACATTAGACACCATTCATCAATGTGGAAAACAATGGTGGCTTAGATTAGGTTGCCACCAACCTTTTACTGATAGAGACAATCCTTTGAGCACTGTGCTGATAGTTATTGGATTGACATAGCACCTAGGGATTTTCAGCATCAAAGCTAAAAATAATTTTCAAAAAGAAAATATCTTGTATTAATGGCATTTTACATTTATATTTCATGTTTCAGTGCTATTGAACTTTCTAGTATATTGTACCTCTTTTTTCTCACATTGAAAAGCTTGGTTTCCTAAAAAGAATAGACTAGTCAATTGCATTACATTTTCTCCTCCTCCTCCTTCTAGTAATACAACTGACAGACTACTGAATAAAATTAAATATTTCTTTTAAATTTTTTAAAATATTTATTTATTTATTTTTATGCAAGAGCTGGGATACAGGACAGAGACATGGGAGGGTGAGAGGATTCACCAGAGACAGAGCAGGGAGCAGAACACACAGGCGACTGAAATACACTGCTCAGGGGAGCAGCGGGTGAGACAGGAGAGGTCTGCCACATCATGTGGGACTCTCCCTGGCCGGCCGGGAATCAAACCGGTTCTGCAAAGGCTGCAGACAGCTTCACAGTGCTGCACTTGCCACCTGTGCCACCAGGGGAGGCCCTCTTTTTAATTCTTTACAGTGTATTTCACTAAGCATAGCCACTCACACTACTTTGTTTCATAGCAGTACTTATCCCTTCCATCCTGTTCCCTTATTCCTGAAAGGTAGCCTGCTAGTTATATTCTTGCACCATGTTTTCTTACTTAGTGTCATGTCCTGAAACAGCACTTTCTGTACATTTATAATGTCTCTGCAGTACCCAAAGTTTACCACCAGAGGGCAGTGGTCTAACTGTTTGAGATTTGTGGTTAGTTTAGTTACAGTAGCGAGTCTTTAGACAGAATGTTGTAAGGTGAGGTCTTTGTAACAATCAGCAAATATGGCCCTCCCCATCCATCCTGATCATCATGTGAGAGAGAACAGGACAAGGTATTACTGTTCTTTTGTAGTCATCAAAGGAAAATAAGTGAGTGGATGTTAGTTCATTGTCACTGATAAGGAGTTGATTCAGGCTGTTTACTTTTCACCTAAAGTTTCTTCTTTTCACCAAGAAACAACAGGGAATCTGTGTGACTCAAAGTGGGTTACACAGTAGAGATTTTTCTCACTGGTTTTCAATTGCAAAGTATTCTTTATGTGAATGTGCCACTCAACCTATCCCTTTCCAATAGACCTTCGAGTTATATCTGTCCCTAATAATTATCAGTGTTCCTTGCATGTTTCATATATTTTCAGTCTATCTAAAATTTCTGGAAGTAGAATCACTGGGTAGAAACTAAATGCATATGTATTTATTGCAGATATCGACAGATTCTAGGGCTTGTCAACTTTCACATACCATTTAATTTTTAGAACAAAATAGGGTTACACCAATTTTATTTTATTTATTATTTTTTAAAGATTTATTTTTATTTATTTATACAAGCACTGGGTACAGTCAGAAGCACGGGAGGGTGAGAGAATCACCAGAGCCAGAGCGGGGAGCAGAGCAGGCAGAAGGACCGAAGTACACTGCTGAGGGGAGCAGTGGGCGGCAGGAGGGGTCTGTGCACCATGTGGGACCCTCCTCTGGTGGCTGGGGAGCAGCCGGGGATCGAACCGGCTGTGCAGAGGCCGCGGGCAGCTTCACAACCCAGCGCTCAACCGCTGCACCACCGAAGGCCCTACACCAATTTTAAATACTTTTTATTAGAGAAGTTATTATTAAAATGAAAATTAGGTACATGATTCAATTCATTATGTAGAAACTCATAGAATAACCTCGTCGGCACACAAGTTTAGAAAAACTTTTGTGTCCCTAGATAAACTGATAAGCTACCATAGTGCCTTCAATGATGGAAATCTGCCCAGACCTACTTCCTCTTTCATCAAAGGAGAATCTTGGGCCCCAAGAGATTCAGCCAGGCTTGGTGCCCTTCTCTGCTTTGCTAAGACAGGGCCAGTCTCAACTGCAATGTTGGCTCATCAGTGTAAGCACAGCCCAAGGAGTTGGTGCTTTGGCCCCAAAATACCAGGCTAAAAGTCTCAGAAGGAACTGGGTCAGAGTTTATGACAGTGAGAATAGGTAAGCTTTGCTCCTGAGCGCATACAGTACTCTTGCCTCCTAGGTGGTTTCACTTTGTGTTTAACTGTGATCAGAAAAAGTACAATAAGCTATTTTGAGAGAGAGAGAGCTCATTCAATTACAGTATATCATTATAATTGTTCTATTTTATTATTAGTTATTGTTGTTTGTCTCTTACTATGCCTGATTTATTTTTTTAAATATTTATTTATTTGTGCATACAAGAATTGGGGTGTAGGCCAGAGGTGCAGGGGGCAAGAGGATTCACCAGATACAGAGTAGGGAGCAGAACAGGCAGATCTACTGAAATAGTCTGCTGAGGCGAGCAGTGGGCAAAAGAGGAGAGGTATACCATGCCATGTGGGTTAGCTCCCTCGTCAGGGATCAAACTTGTGCTGCAGTGGCTGCTGATAGCATCATAGTGCTGAGACTTAACCCCATGCGCCACCAGGGAGGCCCCTGTGCCTCCTTTATAAACTTTGTCATATGCATGTATGGATATGGAAAATACAGTCTACACAATAAGCCTCAATGTTCATATGTTCTTGGAAACTGCAAGTTTAAGTGTTCTTGGAAACTGTAAACTTTAAAGAACGTGAAATATAATGAAAGCAGGTCCTCAAATAAAGCCATTTCTTCAATTTCGGCTGGGATTTTTTTTCTTGTCAATGTTACAATGAAACAAGCAGAATGGCATTATTCAAGGCCTTGCTAAATAGGGTTCCGTACTCTGTTTTTAGGCATTCGTTGGGGGACTTGGAAACTATTCTCAGATAAGGGAGACTACTGTAGTCTGCTGTTTCTGCGAAAGCAGGTGCTTGCCTTGTCAGAGTGTGCTTGCTTCTCATGAGGTCATAGGCCATAGCTCTCACTGCTGGGGAGTAGTGGATGGGATCAGACACCCATCATTCCCTCATTACTACACATCAGAGGTGAGTAACTGGAAGGATGAGGCCTTATTAGCATCCATCAGGCCTTGTCTTTAGGGGCTAGAATCTGCAGCACATACGCCCCCCCACACACACACAGATTTGTGAGTGGGTTTCCATCTCAGCTGGAGATGAAGAGAAGCTTTCCAAATATGGGTAGGAAAGTGGAGATTTGAAAAGGAGGATAAAAGGGAAGATTACCAAGAGAAGCTGAAAAAGTGATACGGCCATAGGGGAGACCCTCTGAAAAGGTTTACACTAAGTGAAGCTTCACCATCTTGCCTGAAATATGGTAAGGAGAAATGTAAAGTCCTAGACTCTAATTCTACACAGTCAACTGGTCTGTGAGATCTACCAGCTCACCGGGGAAGAAGGAGTTACCCTTTCTAAGGTGGAAGAACCTGGGAACCAACAGCCTGGCCATACTATGGCCAGAGATGGTAACTCTCCCCCAGAATTTCCAATATCTTTTCAGGCCCTCTATGAAGAGGAGCATAAAATTATTTATATTCAGCTACTGCAATTTTCTTTTTTTTTTTTTAAGATTTATTTATTTATACATATAAGAGGTGTATACAGGCCAGAGGTGTGGGGAGGGGAGGTGAGAGGATTCACCAGAGACAGAGCGGGGAACAGAACAGGCAGACTGACTAAATACGCTGTTGAGAGGCGCAGTGGGTGAGACAGGAGAGGTCTGCTGTGCCATGTGGGTAGCTCCCTGGCCGGGGATCAAACTCGTGCTGCAGTGGCTGTGGACAGCTTCATAGGTTGCATCTTAACCCCTTGCGCCACCAGGGAGGCCCAACTCCTGCAATTTTCCTTAACAAAAACTTTCTTCTGCTCTTCCTCCATGAAACTGTCTTTATATTTGTACTTCAAAATATTTTTTAAATTAAGTGGAAAAAGAAAGGGAAAAGGAAAGAAGGCAGGGAAGGGGGAAGTAAAGAAGGGAAAAGATACTAGTTGGTGTATTTCACCAATCTATTAAACATAAAATCATTATTGCCTTAAAAATGTTTACTTCTTATCCAAATTATCATGCCATCTAATTCTGACTTTATTTATTTATTTATTTTTAAAGATTTATTTATTTATTTATTTTATACAAGCACTGGGTACAGTCAGAAGCTCGGGAGGGTGAGATAATTCACCAGAGCCAGAGAGGGGAACAGAACAGGCAGACTGACAAAATACACTGCTGAGGGGAGCAGTGAGCGTGGCAGGAGTGGTCTGTGCGCCATGTGGGACCCTCGACGGTGGCCGGGGATCAAACTGGTGCTGCAGAGGCTGAGGGAAGCTTCGCAGCCCAGTGCTCAACTGCTGAGCCACCAGGGAAGGCCCTAGTTCTGACTTTATTTAAAAACTATTGAAAAAATAAAACAATTGGATATATTTAAAAAACACAACAATTAATTATAATATTTTATTGAAAGAAAACACAATATAGCAGAACTCAAAAAGTTACACATGTGCTTTATAAGGACAGAGGCTTATACAGGTTTAGGTCTATATATATTCATGACACTGGATCACAACATCAAAAGCACCTTTCATTGCCACAGTGTTAGGAAATGAATAAAATTTACCCAAATTAATTTGTTCTTTAAAAATATATCTGAAATGATACAGTACATTTTAGGATTATGTACATATTTGAAACATATCTAGGTATTAAAAACACATTACTTTCCTATGTGCATTGTAATTACCTCTAAGTCCCCAAATACTAAGATACAAAATTCTGCTAATTTAAATAAAGCACAAGATTCTATGATCTACCATGAAGCACCAGTTAAATTCAGCATCTGAATTTAAGCCTCAAACAGAGGCTTCTAACACATGCAAAATGTGGTGGATATTCAAAAGACCATTGAAATAATTTAGGGGTTGATTTTGTTTTTACTTTTAATTAGTTGATTGTTTTAGAGAAAATGGGGGAAACTAGATGACTTAGATCAATGTTTTTCTGTTTTCTGGAATTCTGGGATTCTCAGAAAGAAACTTGACAGACTGGGGAAAGCTTAGAAATATTAGGTTCATTTTATGTGTATTATATATTGGAGCTTCGCCTATGATTAAAATCACAGAAGGGTTTCTATTGATTTTTAAAATAAGTTTGAAAATACTAATGTGAAAGAATGCTTCAAAGCATATTTCACTTGGTTATACAAATATAGTTTAAGAAATATCTCTATTAAATTAGATGAACACATTCAGTGCATTTATATCTCAACTGAAAGTACCTAGGAACATTGCCTTCATTAATTACAGATAATATAATTATGTTTTGATGTGTATGTATTTGTCTAGAAGAACTTTGAATTAAATAGTAAAATATTATCATTAGCTTACTCGTGTTCTCAAAGAACATTATCTAATTTACACCAACAAGTAAAGGTGGAGAGGTAATCATTTTATATTGGGAATCAATTATTGCAATATATCTCCTGTTTATCTTATATACTATGTTACATAGAAATAATCACTTCTGAAAGTGAGACTTTCATAATTCTGTTGCTAATTATAGTCCTAATTTCATTATGATGTAAACCAAATTAAAAACTTATATAAATTATACAAATGTATTTTATTTATCTTAGTCATACCTACTTTAAGAAAAAACCCAGTTTAGCACCTCAGAACTGGAAAAACATGAGTAAACATTATTATTTCGGGAAGTGCATGCCAAAATATATTATTTCTCTCTTATCCTCAGAAAATAATGTTACTAGCTGCAAACATTTTTAAATGCTGTCAAAAATCCTATGAATTGACAACTTAAAACTTGTACTGAATTCAAGTAGTCAAGAAAAACTTTGTTTTCATAGCCACCAGAGGGCGCCAGTGCCTGCACCTTGGCTAATGTAGGCGTAATCTAACCTTTTGGTGATACATGAAGTTGGACATTGTCAAGCTAAAAAATGTCTTAAGAAAGAAAATTAATAATTTCCAAAGAAATATATTTTCATGATAACACATAATCTATGCTTGACTCTTAGAAAAAAAATGGAATTCATTGGTCTATTTTTGGTTACAATTTAACAGGATTTTACTCATTTCTGAATCAGGAATTAAATGTCTATCATGTTTAACAAACAATAAAAAGAGCATTACAAAGCTGTTATCACTAGCAATTCATTTAGCACCATATAGTTAGCACCAGAATATATATTGATAGTAAACCATAATTGCAAAGAAACCTCAAAGTTTTAATGAGGATATGGTGGTTGTAACGAATTTTCAGCACCATTAAACATGAATTTTTAAATAGAATGTTTTGATTGACTTGTCATTAGTCAAAGTGGGAGCATGGTATAATTTTTAAAAATAATTTTGCATATGTTTAAATATTACTTCTCCCACACATATAGGGACAACACAAAAAATACATATATATCTAACAAAGATATTAGACATTGATAGAAATCTAAGTTTAATTTAAATACCTTAGTAGATAAAGTCTTTCATCCATGTCAAGATTTGCATCCTGTGATATTTGGAACCTAGGGCAAGTATTATACAGGGGGAGAACGGGACTGAAGACTTAGTGCCACTTTTCTTCATGGACACATTCAAATTATCTATTCATCTTGTTCAGTCTTGTGCATTAAGTTAATTTACAGGGTATGAACATAAAACACTTAAACTGGCCTAAATGTGTATTGGATTTGCTTGTGTAGATCTTGTAAGTTTATTTAACATAAGCATGTGTTACTGAGAAGAATGTTTTAATTCAAATATTCTGAGTAAGTTGTATTGGTTCAACTTGCCTTACTATTTGGCCAACTCTGCTAAAGCTGAACGAATGTTTCCAGGAAGGTTTTAGATGAACATTATATCACTGTCAACTAAATTCGATATGTCAGTTGGATGGACCACAGAAGTAATGATGCTTAGACTACTGAACAGAAGCAAAGATGACAATAATAACTATCTTTTTACCACATTTTAGAGCAGGCTTATCTGTCATAACCAGGAACATTAAGACTGTGTCTTCACAACTCTATAAAGAAATTCATTTAACAGCTAAGAATCATAATTTTTCCAGTCTTTTGCAGCCAAAGAAATCTGTATTGAATCACAATTGAATTTTTTTCTGAATATAGTCTGATGTGAAAGACTATAGTATAGAGGGGATCAATGCTATAAGGATGCTAATTACTATTCTGACTGAAGCTTTTTAAAATGAAAACCTTAGTGCTGACTATTTAAAGCCATTTTTTCAAAATAATAACTTATATCCAGACCCTTTCTACTTCTGTGCATTACAGTGAGGAACAGCTCTTTTAGCACCGTTGTTGCAAGCTGTGAAGACACATTCCTGATACCGGCCAACTGTTATTGGCTTTAGCTGGAAATTATAACACTTCACATGGCCATTTTATATTAACAACTTTAAAAATCACAGATAGAATTTAAAAAATATATACCTGTTGTCTTTCAGCTGAGTTGCTTATAAATAAATGTATCTTGTAATTTGGAAAGTACTGTCAAGTAAATTATAAGTGTGTAGGCCCTCATCTTAGTCTGTTATGTTTGATGATTTATCTCGACTTTTGATGCATTTGAAACCTGGTAAATCAGATATTTTTTGTCGTAATAAGTCATGGAGACATGAAATTTCTCCAACCTGTTGCAATTCTAGGCTTTTTAGTTAATTAAAAAATGCATTTATATAAACATTCATTATGTAACAGCTACATAAAAAGCTGAGATAAATACAAAGAAGAATTAGACATAATTTCCACCAAAAAGTAGCTCATGAAAAACTTAATTTTATCTTAAATAAAAGTTAGCAACATTGATAATAATCTTAATATTCATAAATTTATGTTTACATGTCAATTTTACCTTGATAAGAACCTCTGTGGAAGCTGTAGCAAATATCATTACTTTTCTTCAGAACTGAGAAACTAAGCCACATAAGTAAACCAATAGTATAACTGAAATTGAGAATAATAATCTGTGGTTTAATAGTACTTTTGCTGCTACTACAGAATTGGAATAGCAAAAGTGAGTATGGAAATATTTTCTAAATCAATCAAGCAGCTATCTCATTATAAGAGATTACTTTCCAATTGTCCTGATATATTAGAGAAGTGTTGGATAGGAACCATGAATCATATAATTATTTCTGCTCTCCGTTTAATTTTCCAAAAATATTTGTTTTCAATAAAGTTTGCATATGCACCTACAAAAGCAGACTAGTATGATATAAAAACATTTGTGAACCATATTCAATTTGTAAAAAGAATCAGGCCAATTGTTTGTCATCATGTAAACCTAAACTCCAGATGGTGGATTTTCCTTCATTGAATGGATTTAATTAATGATGTGTTATCTTTCAGTGCATCCATACTAAGAAACTGCAGATGTGTGGGGAATTTTAAACTAGTAACCTCCTTTTGTCATTTGTACTCTGGAACTAACCATATTTACTTGTTCTATAACTGTGGAGAAGCATTACATACCCTTAATTACACATACACAACACACACACAATGTGTCTTCACTCACATGTTCAATTCTCCACTGTGAAAGTGATTTCCTGAATGAGGAATCATTGCATTTCCAGAATCACATGAGTGGCCTTATCATACTGGCTTTGAATTGATATTCATAATCAAATTTAATGAATATCATTCTTCTACATATAGAAGTAAAATTCGATAATTAATCCTTAGACCATCGTCAAGAGAGAGCTACATTAGCAAAGTTACAACTGGCGTATATGCAGGATCTTTACTGATGCTCAAAACCACAAGATGATCAGATTGATTTTCACTGAATGATTACAGGCACAACGAAGTGCCGGAGTGTCCTTGGCATCTCACATATTTCTTTCTGGCATCATTCAACTCCTGCTGACAGACCTAAGAAACATCAGTTCCTCAAGATACCCTGTTCTGTAGCTCTCCAAGTCTTTTGGGGTTTTTTGTTTGTTTGTTTTTGGTTTTTGTGGAGGGGAGCAATATTGCTATTTCTGTAACATTTCATACCTGTCTCTTAAATCTCACTTCTTATGGGCCTTATAAGTTTTCTTAGGGTCTTGCTTTCTGCCCTGAAAAGTCACTTCTACTCATCCAGGGATCTCCAGGCAGTTGTTAATTCTTCGCTTCCTCTTCCTGTGCCAAGTACTGTAACTATATTTTCATGCTAATTAGAAGTTTTTACATAGTTTGACTTGCCTCTTGTTTCATCTAGAGATGAACACTGATTAAAAAATAATAAATTCACAGCAAAGTCATTAGGGCACATTATTTCTTGAATATTTTTGTGAACTATTTGAAGGTGGGCATTATATCTCATTTTCTTTGCATTATCAGAATATAGTTGGCTGATTGCCTTGTACATAGTAAGCACTCAACAGATGATTACTGATTTAATAAAAGGAGATTAAAGCAACAGCATTATTTGAAACTGATAAAAATTGAGTGTATCCTTTGGTAAACCCAAATAAGACAAAATATCTCTAGAATGATATCCATGTTTACATAATCAATGAATATAGATACTGCTGAGTTTTTCTCAGAACTTACCATTTTGGAGGTATTATAGAAATAGGTGCTGAAGATGTCCCACAATCTCACATGTACTTTAGAGTATTTTTTTTAATTTCCCTTAAGTTAACTACTGAACCATGTTATCTATGTTACATCATCTATTATATGTTTGTGTGTATGTGTATATATATATATATATATATATATATATACACACTTCACTCTTTGGGACAACTTAATTTCTTTGAAAAGCAAGTTTTGAAATGGTATGTAGCAATTATGTCAATACTACGTATAAAATGCATAAACAGGCTTAGAGGTCAGAAAATAGAAATGGGTACTATCTGATTACTTCAAATGATTAACAAACATACTAGACAAATATTCATTTACACAATGAATAATAAAAGGAAAACAAGATTATCATAAAATATGTATAATATGTGCAAAACTCAATATATATGTACATATATATTTATATGCTTGTGAGTCCCAGCCCAGAAACCACTATATTTCTTGGAGGAAAAAGTAACCTTATTTAAACCAATACAGGTAGTTTGATGTTACTCCTGGAAAACAAAGATTATCAGTACAAGATCCCCCGTAACTTGGAGGGCAAGCCGAACATGGGACCCCTACTTTATATGGTGCTTCTCCAATCCAATTGCCTCTAGAAAGGAAAAAAAGGAGAGGAGATATAGCATTAGTGCTACTAATCCATTTTTTAAAAATTAGATTGTCCTTAAGCACAGGATCACATGTACTGATGTGATCTTTTTAAGAAGTTTGTTACTTGGGCCTCCCCCGTGGCTCAGTGGTTGAGCGCTGGGTTGCGAAGGCCGGTTGGATCCCCGGCTGCTCCCCGGCCACTGGAGGCGGGTCCCACATGGCGCGCAGACCTCTCCTGCTGCCCACTGCTCCCCTCAGCAGTGTATTTCTTTGTCAGCCTGCCTGTTCTGTTCCCCACTCTGGCTCTGAATTCTCTCACCCTCCTGCGCTTCTGACTGTACCCAGTGCTTGTATAAATAAATAAATCTTTAAAAAAAAAAAAAAAAGAAGTTTGTTGCTTTACCTTTTAATTAAAAGATTTATTTTTATTTATTTATGCATAGAAGAACTGGGGTATAGGCCAGAAATGCAGGGGGTGAGATGATTCACCAGACACAGAGTGGGGAGCAGAGCAGACAGATTCCCTGATATACACTGCTGAGGGGAGCAGTGGTCAGTGGTCGAGACAGGAGAGGTCTGATGTGTCATGTGGGTAGCTCCCTGGTGGGGTATCAAACTCAGGCTGCAGGTGATAGCTTGATAGTGCTGAGACTTTAACCCCTGCACCACCAGGGAGGCCCCTAATTTATTTATGTTTAATGGAATAGTAGGGTACCCCCATCAGGAATTACCACCATAATGCGCCCACTACCAACTTACCTGTGTTCCACCAACATAGACCATTGTGCTTCCTTCCCTCTTGGTGCCTCCCAACCCCCCTTGGTGTTTCAGTTCTATAATCAGCTATCAAGGGTTAGTTTTTAAATTTGTCTTTACCTAACTGTTAACTTAGTTACTTTGTATTCCACATATTAATGGCACCACCTGGTATTTATTTTTCTCCTTCTGACTTATTTCACTTAGTATTATCCCTTCTGGCTCCATCCATGGAAGTTTGTCATTTTAGAAGGGCACTGAAAGTAACATCCATTTGATTTTGAAAGTAACTTATTCTATATAGCTTAGTTTTTTTTTTTTGTTTGTTTGTTTGTTTGTGGGACCCTCGCTGGTGGCCAGGGATTGAACCGGCCCTGCAGAGGCTGCGGACAGCCTTGCAACCCAGTGCTGAACCGCTGCGCCACCAGGGGAGGCCCTATATAGTTTAGTTTTAAAAAAAATTCTCACTGAATAAGTTAATATTATCTTAATTTATAGACAAGAAGTGAAGTTCTACAATGCATGGTGTCATAATTGTTCATGACACCTGACTTGGTGCTTATTCTACTCACCTCATCTGTCTCCTTCCTGGACCAGCCCTTCTAAATTACATAGTCAGGCCATATTTAAACTTCCTTTTTAAAACTCATGCTAACACTATTATAAGGATGAGAATTACATATATATAAAATTTTATGAGAGGTATAAAATGATGAAACACAAAAATTACATTATAAATATTCACAAGATATATTTCTGAAGTTGTGAAATATCTTAGGTTCTCAGTATTCACAAAATGAGGAGATATGGGCACTCCATTGCCATAGTAAGAGAAGAATGACTTACAGAAATAATTAAAGGTCATTCTAAAAACCTTTTCCCATATGTAAACTCATAGCCATTTTTATTTGTTAATGTTATTCTTTTTTAAATAATGCTTAGTACATTTAACTGAACTACTTAGTAATGTCAATGTTTATCTCTACTGCTGTATAATCATAATAATACACCAAATTAGTCAATTAATAAAACTAAAAACAGATACCATGCTTTACTACTATTTAGTTAATTATAAAGAAGGTAATAACTGTATTTTCAGTACTTTACAAGAGTACTAAAAAAGAACAATATAGTCAGCAATCTGAAGGAAACTGAATGGTGGGTGAGGAGAAAGTTTGGTTGTCAATAATAAAATGTCAAGATTGAAAATAAGAGCAGTAAGAGACTTAAATATCAAACAGGTGGTCCTTGTCTTCTCTAAGACTTAAGGAACACCAAGGAGTAACTCATAAAGTCCATGTATAGCACATGACACTATATGCTCACATCAGTTAAAAATTCATTCTTTTATATATAAAATATCTATAAAGGAAAATATATCTATAAATAAGAACCATTGATGAAAAATTCATATTACGTAATGAAATGAGATTCCAAAATTGTCCACATCTATTTAATTTATTATGTACTCTGCCATAAGACAAACTTCCTTGCATGTAATTTGATGACATTACATACATTGGTTGCTCAGAAACATACCATGAGCTCAGTTGTCTTACAGATCACTCCTTTAACCTGATGTCTCCCATTCTGTATATATAACCTTTTCCCTGTGTTTTCCTGTCTTTACCCAAAACTACAAATGTAAATGAACCCACCCAGTCCATACTATTTAAATTTAAATCTTTCTACTTATTTCTGCATACCTTTTTGAGATTATACAGCATATTTTTGGTAACATAAACTTCAAAATGTAATTTTAGTGTAATTTTACTTATATAGGCATATATATTATTATAAATTTTCACATAAATCAATGATTTTACTGACTAGAAGATAATTATATTTAATAGTAAAAGTCATTCTTTTATATTTTGGCCTATACCATTTAATTAAATTCTCCTTTCCTGTCTCTTTCTTTCACTATCTGCCCCCCTTGTTTCCCAGACAAGCACTTAGGTTTGAAGGAGCTACATCTGGGCATTGGAAGAATCATAACCAGCTATCAACCAGTATTTTAAAATTTCCTTTGTGGTCTAAGTTTCAGAATAATGACTTTTTCTTATAATTAATACAACATGTTTATGCAATACCTTAATCTCTTGCACTTACAAAGCAATCAGATAACCCATCAAAAATACTACAAATCTCTAACCTTGGCTAAAAACAGAGCAGTTAAATGATTGAAATAAAAATGCCTTTCACCATTTGGGTACTATTTATGTCAGGAAGAAGAGTAAAGGACAAATAAGAAAATAAAACTTATGAAACTAATTATGAAACAAACGTACTAGTTTTGATGCTTTTCATAATGTAGACATACTCTTTCCAAATCTTACCATTCTAGTAATTATGAAGAGAGAAACATCAGGAAAATCATTATTTTTCTCTCTTTGCAAAAACACTGCCCTGAAATACTACCATATAAATGAGTAATGCAGTCATTTGTGAAACGTTTTCTCATTCCCCCTCCCTATGCTGGCAAAGCTGGAGAAAATCTTTGGGACTTACTTTGGAAGACACCAAGCATGTCATAAATCCTTTGCACATTTTGGTGCTTACTCCAAATGGGAATAGATTCATGTATAAATACTGGGACATTTTATCATCTGAAGAGTTGTTATTAAGAAGACATTTTATCAAATGTTGGCACACTGCTGTCTATCTGCATATTATAAAGAATATTCATAAATATGGTTATATTTTATAATATTTGATAATCCTTCATAATGTGTGTGCATAGGATAAAATTAATGAATAATTTCTATAATGAAATTTAGATCATAACAAGGCTTTAATTTAAAAAAGAATTCACAGCATTTAAATTATCCTTTCTAACAATGAATACCTCCTTACTCATCTATGAAATTAGGTAACTATACTTTTTAATTTTACATTCTGGTACCGATAGATGAGAATATTTTAGTGCTAATCAATTCCCTAGAAGATTCTTTTCTGTTGCTTTCTGAGCTATGAAAGGTTTGAATGTACATAGTTTATTTTATGATAACCATGATCCAAGAAAAATAGTCAGGAAAATTTAATGAATTTCCATAGCTCCAATTGTTTTACCTAACATTTTAGCCTAAAAGCTCTGACCTTGTGTTAAGAAAACTTTCAGATCATCAATTTTTAGGTAATAGATGGAGGTTTGAGAATCAGAGGTCTTTGTAGCTTAGTCTTATTCATATTATACCTGTTAAAAATATCTACCAGACTGAAGGAAATAATCATGAAAAAGGACCCAGGAAATAGAATCAAAACTGAAACTTACTTGGGAGCATAGTTGCAAACCAAGTAAACTGCCCGCCGCCATACAGATCCCCAAACATTCATGTTTTGGCAAGTCTGAATTGCACATCCTATCCTATTGGAAGTGGCCCAAACCATCTGTGAAAATAAACCAATATTCCATTGTTAAGGTCAAAACTAAGAAAATGCATATTTGACGAAACATTCAGAACATTTTTAAAACTGTGAATAAAAAATTAACAAGACAATTGAAATAACCTGGGTATAATGTGTGCACATGGGGCCAAAACATCTCATAGGACATCTGGGGTTGCAGTCTTGGGGATATGGAAAAGCATAATCTTTCACTTCATCATACCATGGCTTGACCAATTGGAGAATAGAGCGATATCTAGATACCAAGAAAAAACAATTGGAACTTAGAGTACAGCAGTGGTAATATAGAGTGGACTTATGCAAAATTGTAAAGTATTCTTTTTGCAGATTATTTGTTTATCCAAGAGCATATACACCCTCATAATTACCATCACTCCCTAATGGAGTCCTTTATCTTTCCAAGTAGTGCCAAGCATGAAAATGCCCACACCTGGAGTAAGAGGTTCTGAATTTAAGAGTGTGTCAAAAAGAGAAATGCAACTATTTCAGGAATCATCATCTATATCTTATTTGATCCATGTCAAAAGTTTCTTCTATGAGAATTTTATGCATAATCAAGAATTAGATATATGAAAGTAGTCACAATACTAGAAGTCAGTGCATTTTCCCTTAAATTTGAACAACTTTAATAGCAGTACACCTGATTTTCATCTTCCATGTGGAGAGAATAGGTCTTTAAAATGTTAGAAAGACAGCCCATAGAGGTAGGAAAATTATCCTATTAATGGAAACAGGTTTTCTCTTAGTTGCATAATTTTCAAAAATGTATGTGTATATACAAATATACATAAATATATAATTTGCATCTGATGCACACATACACATATAGTATATATGCATACATGTGTATATTTATACACACTTGCAGATATATGCAACTGCAGGAAACTCATATATACAAGAATGGCATTTGCCATAGTCAAGGGGTTTTCCTGAGTGCAGGATAAAGGAAATACATATGCCTGACATTTTTAACATCTTGTGAGGTAAGTGAAGAATACAGTCAAACAAGGGTGTTCTAAAGATAATAAGGAAAATGGTCTTTTTAGTTCCTTTAAGCCATTAAATAATCCTTAATACATAAAAAACAGTGCTGGCCAAATGTCAGTACCTGACACACAGCACTCAATAAATATTTGCTGATATTACTTGAAATATAGGTCACTATTGTGTGGCTAAAGGGCATTAGAGAAACTGCTTCCTACCTTCCAGTGCGCACAGATAGATTTTGGCCCAAAAATCTCAGTAAGTAAGAAGGTCCGTGGTCCCAAATGCAAGTAGCTGCCCAAGCCTCTGCTGATTTTGCAAGATTTTCATCCCAAACCTGTGAAGGGGAAAAACCTTCAGCTGACCCAGGTTTGCTAGTAACAAACAAAAAGTAAGAGGACAGCAATGATGGTACTGTTTCTTTCAATTCTTATTATTGAGACCATTTTAACTAAAAGAAAATAAACTAAGACCATATTATTCAGTAATGTATAAATATATGCATATATACAAATATATGTAAATGTTGAATAAAATATGTAAATTATTATATAATAATGGCCTTAGTTTATTTTAATAAGCTAATTTTATTCAATATTATTCAATTCATTCTAAGTTTTAGAATGCAATGTGGTTATTACTACCAAAACAAAAAATTAGTGCCATATATATCCACAATCCAGACATCAATTTTAATAAAGGATAGGCTAACAAAAATATTATGTGTGATGTAATTTGGGGACACCTTATATTGATAACTGAAATTTGAATCCCTCAAAGTCAGTTGATTCCCTAGAGGTCTTCATAGCAACAAGGAGCCATGCTATTAATATCTCTTAAAAATTAGATCTCCCCCAAGAGACTGCTCCTCTGTAACCAATAGCTGGTAATATAAGTGGGTTCAATGTCTCTAAAACTTCCTCATATCAATATAAACTAGAAAATCTGATGTATATGTGAAATTTATCAACATTCACATGTTGACAAATAAAGGTTAATAACCAAAGACGTACAAAGAACTCAACGACAACAAAAGAATAAAAAAAAAATGGGCTGAAAGAGCTAAACAGAAACTTCTCCTAAGAAGATGTACAGATGGCCAACAGGCAAATGAAAAAATGCTCTTCATCACTTATCATCGGGGAAATCAAATCAAAATCACAATGAGAGAACATCTCACACTTGTGAGACTGGCCCATATCAAAAAAGACCAGACAAGTGTTGGCCATGGGGCCTCCCTTGTGGCACAGGTGGTTAAGTGTCAGCACTATGAAGCAATCTGCAGCTACTCAGCATGAGTTCTACCCACATGGTGCAGCGGACCTCTCCTGTCTTGCCTGCTGCTCCCCTTAGCAGTGTATTTCAGTGGATCTGCCTATTCTGCCCCCAACTCTGTCTCTAGTGAATCCTCTCACCCCCCCACACCTCTGGCCTATACCCCCATTCTTGTATGCATAAATAAATAAATACTTAAAAAAAAAATAAGTGCTAGCAATGATGCGGAAAGTGTTGATGGGTATGTATATTGTTACAGCCCCTGTGGAAAACAGTATGGAGGTTTCCCAAAATAATAAAAGCATATCTACCATATGATTAAGCAATTCTATTCCTAAGTATCTACCCAAAAAATATAATAACAGTAATTTGGAGGGATGCATGTTCTTAATGGTCTTGGATTTAGGCAGGGAAGAGTGACCCAGGAACAATTTTTGCCTCACAACTCCTTACAATAAACTTACTAACTGGGATGATTGAGTAGTCTTCACCAGAAAATGAAAAAAAAAAAATCAATATCTAGATTAGCTGATTGGACTATAGGTAATTTATTCATATCGACAGCTAGAAAATGAATATTTATTGGGAGATATGGAATAGTTAGCAAGGCTGATGATGATTATTCCTTACAGTTTAGGGGAGAGATAGGAAATAAATTGTCTACCAAACAAATAATTGAATAATTAAATATTATAATACATCATTAAAATACATTAATATATATTATATAAAGAAACTCCCAAGTATCGTGTGCTACTTAAAAGTTTGCTTCCTTTGAAATATCCTCAGTCAATCAAGTATATTTCCAAGTTAGCAATGTTCGTGTCATTCATTCAAGCCATTTTTAGTTCATCCATAGTCCCCACACAATATTTTCTTAAAAACAAGTGCTGAAGGAGTATCCGGTGAATTTTGTGCTAATATAAAAACTATCACTGGGATAACTCCTTTTTACTTACTCTGTCAAGACTTTCAGAATATAGTATCTTGACAAATACGTGGATATTTGAGATATGTAATATTTTCCAGAGTTATGTTTTGTGTCTTAAACCATATCTTAAGATAGTTCTTAGAGCACATTGAAGAGGTCTCACCTGGTAAATTACTCCTGAATCTCCTAGAGAACTTTAGAGGCAGGTACCAAGTCTAACCCTACAACTTTCAAATTATAATTTCTACATCGGGATCTTCAATGTGTACTTGCAAAGTGGTCCTGTGCTCTCCTGGTTAGCAATAATTTATTAAAGCTGTCTTTGATGGAGTGTCATTTGATTGAAGATAACTTTGGGCCTCTTCTCTCTTCTCCCAGCCCTACTGACCTACTCTATTTATATACTTATACATTACGTGGAAGGCTTATGAAGAAGGGGACTTTCCTTGTATTTCATGTTTAACTAGCATCAGTATTCTTCCTTTCAGTTCTGCTTTATTACTGATCCAACTTTTGATAAAAATAAAAAACAGCAAGAAAATATTTTGTTTTCATAGACAGAGATGCCAAGCTTGTGAAGATGTTTGTTCTGTATATTTTATAGAAGACAGAATTATGGGAGAGGCAGAGGAACTGTCTTGTGTGTTGCTGTACAAACAGACCAACCTTACTTATTTTGAGAGTGACAATTGCAGGGGAAGGAAATATGCAATTTATTGTTACATGGATATGAACACAGAGTTAACAAATGGTTTTCATGGTGCTTACTCAGAGGTAATGGTAACTCTAGATGACTATTAACTTAGAAGTAACATGTGGGAGAGCCACATACATACCATTCTGAAAATCCAAAATACTGAAAAGTAGATTTTAAAATGTAAAAGCAAGGTAATCACTTTCTGTCATAGTAACATCAAATATGTAAGATACACACCTGATTTACAAGCAACTTATTTCTTGAATGTAATATGAGTTAGCAAGAGTATGTGCCCACAGATCTGCCAACATAACTTTAGGATACATCCTCAGAAGTAGAACAAATGGAGAATAATTTGTCATTGCTACTCTGCAATGGTCAGGTGACATCACATACACATTGGAATCCAACCAGGGATAATAATTGGGTGAAAGTCATTCCTTACAGCTACACTGCTCCCAATTTCCAAGATGAGTTAATTGGCACCATTCATGTACATATATGGCTTAAGGGGAGGGGAGCTTCTTATCTTTTCCCGGATTTTTGGAAACAACCAATTTTTGTGCACCCTTTCCTGATAGACTATCCTGTCAACACTCTAGAGAGGAGAGGTGCTATATATAGGGATTTAATACAAGAGGTTAAGAAAGACTTGGGTGACTGCAGGACAAGGGTCTAAAGCATAGCCAATCACAGCCTTCCAAGACTTGACTTACTATTATAATGAGGTTTTCCAACATTATTTCAAGGGTAAAAATTCTGAGGACCAAGATTTTATTTCACTTAAGAAATGCTTTTTAATGTTCAGTGATATTCTCAGATAAGGTATGTGTAAGGAAATTCCCAGCTTATGGGCTTAAGAACAGGAGATAAACACATGAAGCAGAGAGTGCATGCCCATCATTTTGATGTACTTGCTCCATGACCTTGGAAATCGTGCCTGTGCTCTCCAAGCTCTAAGTTTTCTGTCTCTAAATGAGGAAAATTGTCCTCATCTCTCAAGATTAATGAGGGTTAGAGGAGATAGTGAGTGTAGAGTACTGAGCACAGTTCTAGCTGGGGGGAAAAAAGTATACTTAATAATGAACATATTTTTATTGAAAATGCATGCACTGTGATTGTGGTGGTGTCCTGAACTAGAAAAACCTCCTGCAGTGGGAAGCAGAGTGAGGTGCACTTTTGATCCTGTTATCTGGTAGCCTGAAGTCTAACAAATAGCAAGCTTTAATCTCAATTAAGCAAACAATCAGATAAAGTACAAACAGATAAGCCCTGAAGCAACTAAATAATCAGAAACAGAGTTGTGTATAGATAATGAGCCTACTTACCAGGATGGGGGAAGGGGGAAGGGTAACATCCATTCAAAGATAAATATAAGAAAACATTTTGGAAGTTTTAAAACTTAAATCCCTCTACAACAAGCTTAATCTTCAGATTTTAAGAGCATTGATTGATGGAGTCTAACAATAGTTCTCTTTTCCAGAGAAATGTAATACTGATCAGCTATCATTTAATACTGTGATTAAATGCCAGAAAGATATTTTCATATGTGGTTAATTTTTTTTACCAACTCAATGTTACAATCATCTAAAAACCGGTTGTTTGATTGTAAGACTATCCTGTGATATGCATGTAAACTCCATATCTTGCCAATGCCCACTTGGTCAAAAGAATTCAAATGCCTTTCCGCCTACCTACTGCCTGCTGAAAACATGATCTTGCTGGAATGCAGAGAGACAGATTTGGTAAAATGTTCATATTTAATGAAATTATGAAATACGAATTTGATGCACTTTTTAGTAGAAAAATATTTGTGCCCTTAAGTAACATTTCCAGACTGTTTCAGTTTGGAGTATGTAGTGTGAAATTTTAAGAGATTTCATGAAAAGTTTAGTCTAAAACACAACTTGTTAGACATTCTTTCATATTTGTGCCCCCCAAATGCTTAATACCTGATTTTTAGATACTATGGGTACCACAGACTGGAAAATATTCAAAGCTCATCCCTTCAAACCTCAGCCTAATATATATTTTATACCAAACATTTTTCTTGACCAGTTTTAAGCTGTTAGATTTTAATCTACCTTGCACCATTTCCCACATCATTCTATGGAAAGTCTCAAAAACAAACATTTCAATTTTATAGCTATTTAATGGCCATAGGCTTAGTTTTAAATGACTTGCAGATGAACTAAATTCCTGACACCAGACCAGTCAAACTAGTCATTATCTATTTTTCTGATGCCCTTTGATAAAACCCTTACATTATGTGTATCTGGAGAACTAGAGAAGTTTCATGCTATCTATGCTCCTGAAAAAGATTTGGATTTGTGTTGATTTAAGTCTTAGCACAAATAAATAAATAAAAAATAAATGAAACTGTCTTGTAAAATTCAGGAGAGAGCACAATGGACGATGTTATAGGACTATGGGT